AGTCAGCCCTGACTCATAGCGACCCCTCCTTGGGTTTCCGAGGCAGTATCACTACGGAAGTAGGATTGCCCAACCTTCCTTCCGAGGAGTGGCTGGAAGGAACAATAATAATAGTAGTTTTAAAACATACAAAAACAAACTAAAAAACAGAAAAAAAGAAAAAAAAAAATGGGGTGGGGTAGGGCAGGGCACCTTGGCTCCCTCCAAGCACACAGACTGGGATGGGATTCCTGCTGGCCCAGAAGGTGGGTGGGAGTGAGGGATGGGCACACCTCCATTCACCAAGAGGGTGTGGGGTATAAGAGTAACAAGGGGAATGTCACACCTTTCCAGTTGTCTGCGTCCGGAATGTCTTTGAGGTTCCCAGCAAGTGGAGCCTGTTCTTAAGTCCCTGGAATCTGGGAGAATGCTGTCACTTTAAATATCCAAAATGGTCAAACTGCTTGTAAACATTCAAAATGGCTGCACCTTCTGGATAGGCAAAAGTCCACAGCTCAGCCTGCCTTCCTCTTCGCTGCTTCCCCTTTTGTTCACCAGCCACCAGAGCAGTCCTCCATCCAGTCCCTGGCTAGTAGATTTTTAGGTTAATTCTTAGGTCCTAACACCACTCGGAAATATCCAAGCTGCCTGTGCCGTCAGGGTCGCTGCCAGACTGCAGTTCTATATATCTCCTTTTTTGGTGTTTTCATGAAAATTCTTCTGCTAGTTGGAGTTTAGTCCACTTCTATATCCTTCCCTTCAAGACCCAGGGGTCCAGGATTCTCTTCTGTGTGTGTTAATTGGTTCACCTTTTTTTTGTTGAAGAGGGTCTGTGCAGTCTTTATGCCTATTCCGCCATCTTACCGGAACTTGCCCACACTCTTTTTTAAAAAAAATTTTTCAATTGTGTTTTGGGTGACTGTTTACAGAACAAATTGATTTTCCATCCAACAATTCACACACAGCGTTTTATGGCATTCAGTGCAATTCTCACAACACAATAGCACTCTTCCCACTTCCTCCTCATATCCAATACTTCCCTTTATCCCTCCTTCCCCTTACACCTTCCTAACTTTATCCCTTGGCTCTGTCCCTCTTGATCTTGTGTGGTTGGTTGCTGTAATGAGGGTACATCTTTCTGGCATAACTGTTCACACGATATAACTAGGCCTGTCTATGGTTTGGCTGAAAGTTGAACCACGGAGATTGAGTTCAGTTCCTAGCCTGAAGGGTGTCTAAGGGCCATAATCTCAGGGGAGGGGAGATATACTCCTTGGTATCTGTCTTCTTACTCATTTATGATGGGAAATTTGAGAAAGGAACTCCCCTGAAGAGGGCTGGAGAGAACGCTATGTTTTTTCTAATTACCTCATGGATGGTTGATGATACTGTTTTCTGGAGAATGGGCACAAATTCCTCCACGGGGGAGAATGCATTGGGTGCCAGCACCTGGTAAAGGCTTAACTTCTTGGCTGTAAAAAATAGTGGGGTCTGAGGCACTCTTCAGGAAGCCCCAAAGGCCCATGCCTTTTAGTCACCCATCTGTGCTGAGTTCTGTTCCCTCTGGGGATTTACCTTTTAAGCCATTGATCTTTAGCCATTCTGCAGAAGTCCTGTTCAAGTTCGGGAACTCGATTGTGAGAGGGCCCTCATGCTTTGGAGGTTTAGGCAACAGACTTGTGAGTGGCTCTTTTGCCATCTCTGTGGAAATCTAAATTACATAAAAAGATTTCATTGCATAATCCATATTTTATAGCTAGAACACTCTCAACCTCCCCTTGCCCTCTGCTCCACAAAACACACACACACATACACACACATTCTTCCCAAATGGAGGATCTTAAACATTACCTGGGAAATTAAAGGCAGTCTTACCTCCCCTTTCAACCATTCCCATCCTCTTTGCTGAGATTTCTGGAAGTTCTGAGGAAGATGTAGATGTACCCAGCAACTTCCTGCTTCCTTCATTTATCATCCTCTGACCCTCCCACCCTTCCCACTGAGATCAGCACCACAGACTCAGGACGATGCACAGCTCCTCCATGGGTTCAAAGTGCTAGGCTTCAGAGAATTAGCAAGTAGTTCCTACATCAAATCCTTTAGAGAGTCCTGATCTAGCCCAGACTCCACTCCAGTAAAAAAAATGAAAACAAATAAACAAACAAAAACTCTGAGGCTCTAAGAGGTGGCACAGTGCCTAAGGCACTTTACTGCTAACCAGAAGGCTGGTGGTTCAAACTCACCAGCCACTCCTCGGAAGGAAGGTTGGGCAGTCTACTTCTGTAGTGATACTGCCTCAGAAACCCAAGGAGGGGTTGCTATGAGTCGGGTCCGACTTGATGGCAGTGAGTTTGGTTTTTTTTTTTTCTTTGGGGGTGTAAGTCAACTCTGGTAGCATAGTGGCTAAGGCACTTGACTGCTAACCAGAAGGCTGGCGGTTCAAACCCACCAGCCACTCCTTGGAAAGGAAGATGGGGCAATCTACTTCTGTAGTGATACTGCCTCGGAAACCCAAGGAGGGGTTGCTATGAGTCGGGTCCGACTCGACAGCACATAACAACAACAAGTCAACAGCAGTAAAGCAAAGAGCAGCAGTTCCCAAACTTCATGAATTTTATTGTCTGGGTACCACTGTACTATCATTTACTTCATACATTTTAAACCACCACTCGTCTGTCAGTTTGTTGTACTGTGGTGGCTTGCATGTTGCTGTGAGGCTGGAGGCTATGACCACTGGTGTTTCAAATACCAGCAGGGTCACCCATGGTGGACAAGTTTCAGTGGAGCTTCCAGACTAAGACAGACTCAGAAGAAGGAAGGGTCCATCCGCTTCTCAAAGAATTGCCCAGTGAAACCTTATGAATAACAGTGAAACACTGTCTGATCTGGCACAGGAAAGAGCAGTGTGTCGTTCTGTTGTTCATAGGGTCGCTATGAGTTGGAGCCAACTAGACGGCACCTAACAGCAACAACAGTACATTTTAAAAACATCTAATAGGGCAGGGAGGGGAGGAGACTGGGTTAGGGTTGGGCATGGTAAATGGGGAGTGAAACTAAATGTACATGTAATGTTGAATGTAAAACAAATTCTTAAAAAAAAATCTAATAGGTAATCATTTTTATTTAATTTTTAAAATTTGCTCCCTTTTCTTAAACATTTTTTTAAAAGATACATTACTATGATAATGAGTTAGTTTTACATGAAATAAGTACATAACACTGAAAAAATGCATAAACCTATGTACCACCTAAAATTGTTGTGCATACCTCAAGTAATAAATACACACACTTCATTGTGGGAAACTCCTGGCAAGGTTTTGGTGTCAGTCAGACCTGGGTTCAATCTAAATTCAATCTATTTCTTTCTCTATGATCTCAGGCAAGCTACTTAACCTCTTAACTTCCTCAACTGTACAATGGAGTAATCAGATACCTATTGCAGACCATTGTTGTGAAGATAAAAGAAAGTATTTAAAGGACTGAGCATCGTACCTCTCTTATAATGAAAAACACATTGCCATCAAGTTGATTCTGACTCACAGTGACCCTATAGGACAGAGTAGAACTGCCCATAGGGTTTCAAAGGCTGTAATCTTTACAGAAACTACTACATCTTTCTCCCACAGAGTGGTGGTGGGTTTGCACTACTGACCCTTTGCTTAACAGCCAAGTGTTTACCCACATGCCAATAGGGCTTCTTATTTTATAATGATCACTTAGTAAATGAGAACTGTTATAATACCATCATTCATTATAATTTACAGATAATCAGTAGAAGAGCTGGAACTGAAAGTCAAGATCACTGTCTCTCAGTCCTGTGTTCTTTCACCACATCCAGACAGGTCATAATGCCTAGTCTCTCACATTCAGGTTTCAGTCAATAAACCTGTAGATTCTATTTGAGTTCCCTTCTGTCCATAGCAAAGCTTTCTGTGCAGCCTAAATTGCATTTAGCTTTTATGGTGCTTGAGTCCATCAACTGGCTATTTGGCCAATGTTAAATTAGCCAAGTCACCAAGCAAGGATCTTTGCCCCAAAGGGGGCTGGGTAGGAGAGCATGATCTTCAAGGCAGCCTACTCTCTGTAGTTGAGTTTTCCATCCATCTCCAAACTGGGGGTAAAGGGTAGAGACAGGAGCAGCTGGAGGGGGTGACTGAAGCCTGCTGGTCTTTCTCTGAAATGAGTTTTTCAGTGAGAAAATCCACCAAGATCTGCCTGGCACCATGGAAGGCCCATCCAACCCCATTTAACTCAGAGCCATGGGGGACAGCTGGGAGGGGGTTGGCTTGCTTCACTTTCAGGAAGTGAGGGGCCTCTATAGCTGTGCCTCTGAAATACAGGTTGGACCTTTCCAGGACAGAGTGAGGGTGACCCATGACAGACCTGCTAAATGCCTTTGGGAAGGCCCCAGAATCTATGCTCATATGACCCACCTCCTTCATCATGCTGATGAGCTCCTTAGAGGGGCTGCTGTGGCACAGGGCTTGGATGTGTTGAAGCAGGCTCTGGGCCTTCTTAATTTCTGCCAGAAGCTCATCCACATCTTGATTGCTATGGGTCTGGGGGGTGGAAACAAGTAGTCATTCAGAAGTCACTTGGCTACAGGCAGTGGCCAAGGCACAAAAGGCAAGGCAGCAAAGTCAATTCCCAAAGCTGTGTGGCAGACTATATGAGCCACATAGACAGGGGTCTACGTGCCAGAGAGAGCCTGAACGTATGTTTGTTCCATTTGTATAGCACTGGCCTGCAGTGGTTCCAAATGGAAAGATTTTCTATCCTCTAAAATGGAAAGAGGAAGCAACCTAAATGTCCATAGATAGTTTGACTGGATAAACAAAATGTGGCTTTGATATACACATACATTCAATGAAATATTACTAGGCCATAAAGAAAAATAAAGTCCTGATGCTTGGATGGATGCTTGGATGAACCTGAAAACACGCTAAGTGAAATATATTATACACAAAGGGACAAACGTTGTATGAAACCAATGTGTATTTGTGGTTACCAAAGTTTAGTTAGGGGTAGGAGGAAGGAAAGGGGGAGTATTT